GGGGGGGGGGGGGGGGGGGCTGTTGACAACAGTGACACTGATGAGGGACATGGAAAGAGGTGTCCAAGGCTTGGAGACAGCAGGGAATGAAAATCGGATGTGGACAATTATGGTTATTTTAAATAATAACTACATTAAAATTCCTTACACCAAATGACAAGTCAAGATGAGAAATATATATATTTCTATAAACACGACAAATGCCCTGCTCTATTGTTGGGATATTATAATAAAAAACGAAAGGCCAAACTTGAATTGCTGATGAGTCATTATTACCCAGCAGCCCACTGAAGCGTGAACAAGGCTTCTGTGGTTCCTGTTGCAACTGGTCGCCACACCTGGCTCATCAGAAAGTGCTGCCTCATGGTCCCCCGACTTTGCGGGACACTAAAGAGAACCGTTTAAGAACAGCTGCTGCTTAACTCCATGAATAACACTTTGAGATGGGCCTAATTGCTTCATTTGTTTATGGCAACCCCACTCAGTATGTCGACAGGGCAGCTAACAGGGTACGCAGTGCTTTCTAACTTGTCTTGGACTTAATCCTTTTGATTTCAGAACAAAACATTGACCCGGCTTCTGTTTTATGAGCTCGGAGACTCAGAGATAAATAATCCCCGCATTTATTTTTTTCAATTGCAGACGCAAGCTGAGAAAGCCGCAATCGCCGATAAGCGTCAACGATGGAAATGGAGCGGCATAATTTTCAGGCGGCTGAATGCAAATGTGATGACATGTGCTGAGACGTGTGGCTATGAAATAGTCGATGAGTGATGGGGAAGAGAAGGAGCTGTTGTGATTGATTCAATATAGCAGTCTGGGAATTTCTACTATTTTTTTTCCATCATCGCTCAACTCCAATCTGAGGCAGTGAAGCATCGCTTTGCTATTTTCTTGCACCAATCTGAGGCAGTGAAGCATCGCTTTGATATTTTCTTGCACACACACACACACGTATATAGACCACCAAATGGTTGAGTGGTCAAACAAAATGAACCCAGGCAAGTATTGCTGAATAGAGACAAACTTGTGCTGGGAATGTACAACAGCAAATGTAGACGCTGATGACTTTGAACCCACTCCTGCCATTTTCTGCCTGCTTGTACTGTATAGATGAACCAGAGACTGCTGTGAATGCAGAGTGACGGAGCGGGCTGCAGTGGAGGGTGCAGTGTAGCCCACTCAGGTTCAGGCCACTTTCCTGACAGGAATATGGCTGGTAGTGTTGATAACATCACACCGTCAACATGGCCTGTGGTTTAAATTTAGCAGGGAAATGAGGGCGCTGTGTGGGCTTGTGCTTGAAAAGGAAAAGAGGCGCTTATAACGCCCACGCGTAGGCCAGATTTTCTAGCTCTCCTCCCGGCATTTCAGCTAACTCCACGGGCAGGAGCGTCAAAATCAGAGGCGTGAGGACAAAGGGAGGAGAGTAGGGAACTGGGGTTTTGACAGAGTACGACTGTTTGGATTCATAAGTTATGCTGCAGGTTAAGTTATGTTTATATAAACAAAAATATGTAAAATACATGTTTTTTCATAATGGTTTTAAAACACATTATGCTCCACTTTGACTTGTTAATATATTTTTGATGTAGTGATGTAGATATTTATTATATTTACATGGCTTTCTTTTGTACTTTTATAAAATACTACAGTACTTCAGAAACTTCATCAACTGCACAAGTGCCTTTGTTTAAGTGACAGAAATGTTTCTGCAGCTCTGGGTGACCTTTACTTGGTTTTCAATTAGTAGGAGTGTCTCTTTCGGTGTTGAACGTTACAGACGCCTGTCTTACAACATTAATTATTGTAGGTGTAATTTAAAAATGACTGTGCGAACATTCGGTGAGTCACATAATCTTGGCAGCCAGTGAAAACCATCTGCTACGAGGTGGATCTGTCAACAGTTAGCATGTCTGCTCAAGTCCTAAGCTGTTGTTTTTTCTGTGTGTTGTTGAAGTACATGAATAGAAAAAAAACCTAGAGAAAAGCAGGGATTGTTCTAAAACCAGTCGTGCAAACATGGATGAGTGAGCGTTGGCTGGTAGTCTGCTCTTCAGTGACAACTGGACAAGTCTGTGCAGGTCGGTGACACGGTGATGGCTGATAAAAAACAATTTGCTTAGAGGACTCCATCAAGGGTATCGAGGTCGCACGCAAGCCTCTGGTTGGTGCTCTGTCGGCCTCTCAGTCAGGGAAATTGTGAAAAGGTGAGGAGTGACAGGTGAGGAGAAGGTGGGGGGAGGGTTTGGGGGATTCTGGTTTCTGTCAGTGGGAAGGACATGAGTTCAAGGGACATCCTGGACGCTAAACTGGAACATGAGTGCTATCGTAGGCCACACATTACAGTTTGTCTTTGTGCTTATTGTGTGCAAACCTGGCACAAATGACACACGGCAGGGAGTGTTGTTTGCACAACACGAGGGTTCACGTTCAGTTCATTTTTCACAACACAAAACAACGTCCTGCCGAACGTGTCGTCATGAAGAAAACACTTCCAAGAAGACAAGCAGCCTCCATGTTTTCACTGCTCTCCCAGACCAGACGATGCTGCCCTGGCTGTCAGGAACTGTACTGCACAGTAGGATAACAGCGGAGTGTCAGCAACAGCTGCCAGGAAGTGCTGCTGTACAACTAACATGTTGGACTGAGAGTTAAAGGCAGTCTCCTGTGGCAGTCCCTCTACACTGTAGACTGCCAGACACAGCCTCCTCACTAACCGGCTCTGTTTACGTCTCTAGAAGTCAAAATGTTCTGAGACCAAGAAAAATATTACGTTTCTTTAAACAAAGCCATTTTCCTTTGTTTTCATTGTAGAATTACATCTTTACATGCCTATAAATGGACCGCCCGTAAGCCAACAAACCCAGCTCTGATTGGCTCTCGCCCATAAATGAACATTGACAGAATTTCCACTAGTTCTGACACAAGTGAGTTTCTTCTTTGCATCACCTTGGATTCACCACAGTTGACACACACACACACACACAAACTGAGGTGACTTTGACACTGCTTCCTCTTCTCTGCTGATAAGGCTAAAGACAGTGGGGGTGTTTGCCAAGGCAAATGAGGGTTAATAGCTTTACTCAAGGACACAGCAGTGAGCACAGTCTGAGATCTGAAGCAGAGACTTGTTGGTTTGCCTAAACGCTGCTTCAAAGTATTTATCAGCAACCACTGCCCAGGGACACATAGGCAGTGCTTCGGTTTTTTCTTTCCTGTAGTAGGGGAGTGTGCACTTGAATGAATGTTTTTGTTAGCTGCCGTCCAAGGCCTGGGTAAACGAGTGTTCCTGAAAATTCTACTGTACCCAGACAATAAGAGGCAGGATCTTATAGTCCCCTATCTGCTGGTAAAAAGTGGGAGAAAAAAGAGCAGTGTTTTTTTT